GTTCTTCCTGCCACGGAAGTGCTGGAAGAAACCCGACATGTTCTTGTCCAGTTATCTTTAAGGCTGTTAAACCCTTAATACTTAACAATAATACTTAATATGTGCTGCTTTGCATTCCTCATCGCTTCCTAGCAAGGATCACTGAATACTTGACAAACAGCAGCTAAGCCTTCAGTTTGGCATAAAATGGACATACTCTTGCCTGAACTTGGGGAGTTGGAGCATTTTGGGCCACCAAAACCAGACCTCATTTTAAGCTGGGGGGGAGGCAAGAACAGAATCATTTTCAGTGCTTTCCCAACCCACTACACTCACGTGTTTATTCTCATTCCCCCTTAGGTTTGAGAGGATGAAGACAAGGATGGGACAGGAGCCTCTGATACACCAAAACCATGCAGCTGCCCTGACAGAAAGCATAATGAAAGGAGCTTTACTGGGGATCCACTGCCATCCATCTAACCTGAAGCACCAGTGCTGCACAGATAAATCAGTAACTATAACTGGTTCTGAGGGCACCAAGATGCTGTCATTAACTTTCACTTTTCCCATCTCACTCCTAGAGCAAGACGCACTACTGGGTGCAGTCTGCCCTTGAAAAAGAAAGGCTCTTCCTGAGCCTAGGCTTGATAGCTTGGACTTCGGCTGACATCACATTATGAAGCAGCCTCTTTCACCTTGCAAAACGCACTTGAATAAAGGCTAAGGTTAAAACCACATTGGCACATGGGTGCCGGGCTGCGGCACAAGCACTATACAGGTTCATGGCCTCTAGGTTTAATCCCAGACCGGTTTGGGCTGGAAGGGGCCTCAAAGCCCATCCAGCCCCAACCCCTGCCACGGGCAGCGCCACCTCCCACTGGAGCAGGGGAAGGGCCCGCGGGCACCCACCGGCCGCCGCCGCGCACTCACCCGCGCGTACTTGAGCACCTCCTGCACCCTCCAGAAGCGGTCCGTGAGGCGGCAGCGGAGCCAGCGCGCCCCGCTCAGCACCACCATGGCCCCTGCCCGCTCGTGGCAGCGCCGAGCCTCGGCGTCTTCCGGGGCGGGGAGAAGGCGGCGCGGCCGCGGCTTCTTCCGTCGGGTTGGGAGAGAGGGAGGGGAGGCTCCGGGGGGAGCTGAGAGCAGCGGAGGGGCTGCAGGGAGCCTGGAGAGGGGCTTGAGACAAGGGCCTGTAGGGACAGGCCAAGGGGAATGGCTTGAACCTGCCCGAGGGGAGACTGAGCTGAGCTCTTAGGCAGAAGCTCTTCCCTGTGAGGGTGCTGAGGCGCTGGCACAGGGTGCCCAGAGAAGCTGTGGCTGCCCCATCCCTGGCAGTGCTCAAGGCCAGGTTGGACACAGGGGCTTGGAGCAAGCTGCTCCAGTGGAAGGGGTCCCTGCCTGTGGGAACTGGATGAGCTTTAAGGTCCCTTCAACCCAAACCAGGCTGGGATTGTGTGAATAGAAGACATGATGTTAACCACAAGAAAATCATCATTCATTCAGCTTAAACCAGCAATGCTAAAGCAGCATGAAAAGCTTTCGTGTTGTTTTCACTGATGGAAGAATTCCATACCGGGTCTTACAGCATCCTTCTGTCTGCAGGAGATTATGGGATGTGAAATGGAATTCTATGGCCTGCAGCGCACCACGAGATGGTGCTGTCATTATAGAGAGAGGACAGTGATTCCTTAGCAGCCAGTGTCCTGGCATCAGAGAACCAAAGGATTTGCCTGATCACCTTTAATCACGGCTAGTTCAGCATCTCAGAGCAATAGCGCTCCTGGTAGCTATTGCTCCGTAACTTCTCCATCCTCAAGATGTCTTTCCCACTCTTGGGCAGGGGATTGTAAAGGATGTGGGGATTTCACACAGTTAGAGGCTTGGGGGATCTTTTTTGCTGGGGTTTGACACCAACCTCACTGGGTTGTTAGAATCATTAGAATGTGTGGGCTTTTTCCAAAGGAAAAGGAAAGAATGGTTTTCCATGAAGGGTAAAATAATGCATCCAGGCTGCCCTCTAGAGATGCAAGTGCTACTGAAGGGTTAAGCATCATTTATAGCTTCTTGAGCAACTCAAGCTATCAACACTTACAGACACCTGAATATCTGCCTGCAGGAGCGTGTTTTTATGCTTCTCGCTGTTGTTAATTACATACAAACAAGTATTATTCTAAAATGAATGTTATTGTAAAAGGTTTTGCCAATAAACTGGATTTTCTTCTCATTTGGGCACACGGTTTGGTTTTGTACTGATCCTTGCAGACAAACCCCAGGTTTCTGACTGTTTTCAGGTGTAAAAGCTGCGTGGAAGAGGAAGGAACACAGGCTCAATGGTTTCTTGGTTCAACAAGTACCAAACTGTTTCATTTCCCTCTTCCTTAGCTGGAGCATTGACCTGTAAGCTGGAACGGTCACACCAATCAGCAGGAAGCCTGGCAGAGCTTGTAATGGACATCAGGGAACAGAGCACACTGCATCTGCAAAGAAGCAGAATGGTAGAGGAATGCTCAAAACCAGTGTAAAAGATCCTCAGATCCATGTGTCTCCATCAGCCTGGTTATTCCAAGCTGGTTTCAGTAGCAGTTATTGATGGTTTATTGGGTTGTTTGCCTGTTTTAGTGGGCGTTCAGTGCTGAAGAATGATTTTGGTCAGGGGAAGCACAGATGTGCAGATGGAAGTGTCATCTGCACACATTTCATCTCTCCTTTTTAGCACTTTGGACTCCCAAAGGGAAGCTTCACTCCACAGAGCTGGCTGACACAGCTCCTTTGTGGGAAGAGGCAGGCAAAACACAGCCAGGAGGAAGGAGTTTGGGTTCTTCTTTGCCCTTTGGGGTCTGAGAATCAGGCTTAGAGAATCCTCAGGATTGGCTCCATCTGCACCAGGCTTGTGCAGGTTAAATGCCAGCACTGAATTCAGTCCAGAGGTGTTCCTTCTGCTGGGCTCTGGTACAAACTGATGCTGGGATGCTGGGGATGGACTCTTCATTAGGGGCTGTAGTGACAGGACAAGGGGTAATGGGTTAAAACTGAAACAAGGGAAGTTTAGATTGGATAAAGGAGGAAATTCTTTCCTGTGAGGGTGGTGAGGCACTGGAATGGGTTGCCCAGGGAGGTTGTGAATGCTCCATCCCTGGCAGTGTTCAAGGCCAGGTTGGATGAAGCCTTGGGTGCCATGGTTTAGTGTGAGGTGTCCCTGCCCATGGCAGGGGGTTGGAACTGGATGAGCTTAAGGTCCTTTCCAACCCTAACTGTTCTAAACACAATGTTGTGTTAAGACATGCAGAATGGCAGGCTGCACAGAACAGTCAACCCTGCTCTCTGTGGAGCTGTAGAAGCTCTGTGCTGCCCTAAAACAGCACAGTGAAGTGATTTTGGGGTAGAATTTTCAGTTGCCCAGCACCAACGTAGCGATCTTAATAGAGTTTAACTTTGATTCTACCTCCTATGGTTTTGCTTTGTGTCTGTGTTGTCCTTTCTCCACTGAGCAGACATAAATCAAGCTTGAAAAATACGACATATTTAAATCAATGGTTGTGAGATTGGCAGCCTAAATACTGAGGCTCTTTAGAATCCTCCCTGCCATTTGTCACATTTATTACATCCAGCACCATCTGCTTTCCTGCACAGATTCAGAGCTTTATTAACACTGTGTCTGGCTGGGCAGCAACTGAAAGCAGGACAGATTCAATTGTGATTTCCCTCTGGATGTCTGGCTAGATCTATGAAGAGATTTTGCAGCTTGAGAGAAGCCTGCTACCCTGCATTCTCCCCTAGGAGCCATTCAGCCCGAGAGTGCACTGAAGAAAATGGGTGGAACAAGATGAAAATGGACTTGCATCCTCTGATGAGGCTGTTCCTTTCTGCCCTTTTAGATCTCTCTCTCTCATGCATGTATTCCTAAGCCATTTTCACAGTTTGTTCCCCTTGTTCCCCCTGTCCCCCTTCTCCCAGGAACGTGCCTGTCCAAGCAGAGCCGCTCCTGGGGTTTGCAGTCTTGTTAAATCCCAGATGGAGCTGTCGGCTGAAGGGCTTTTGAAATCCATTGTAAACCTGGGGCTGGGTTAGTACACAAAAACCCTGCTGCAGCGCTTGACAGCTGAAAATGAGAAAGTAGAGGAACGCTTTCAGATGTGGGACACGGTTATTACAATGCAGAGCTGCGGTAAATGGATTTGTAATCAGTTTAAAGTAGTTATTTTCAGGTACATTTTTCAGGTTGAGGCACAAGGAAAACCATTATTCCCTGTGATGAGAGTGTGTGCGGTACATTGTGGTACACAAGGTGTTCTTTAGCGCTCCAGCTAGGTGGGGTAACCAAACACAAGAATAATCTTCCAATGGAAGGAAATAAGCCTCCTCAGGGCAGTATTCCATAGGGAAACTCAGCTCATGCCATGGCTCCTTCAACCCCTTCTACTCAGTTCTGTGCTTCTGGTTTCACTTCTCTCATCACTTCAGGACTGTCTTCACCCACGAGCAATGGATGTTGAGCCTGCATTTGGTGTTGCTCTCATCACCTCCTACTATTGAAGTGGTTGGAGGCTGTTGTTAAGCCATGGTGTGTTTGGATACAGCTGCCCAGAGATCTGCTAGCCCTAAATTATCCTATGCTAGAGCTCTTCTAATGGGCCAGCAGTAAATAAGGCAGATACACATACCAAAACCCCAAAGCAGCAGGGATATGGGCACCCAAAATGTCCAACTTTAAACAACCTAATGAAGAAAAGCTAGCACTTGTCTGTGTTATAAAATCATCTTACATTTGAACCTTGGTTTTCTGATAACCTTTTTCCAGGGCAGAACTTTCTGAGCATCACGTTGGGGCACAGGACTCTGGATTCCTTCCCTGACTTGTGCCATAGATGAGCTCAGCCTTCAGGTGAGACCTGTGCTGCCTCAGTTTCCTCTGGAGATAAGGGAGTTTTCTCCCTCCTGCAGTACTATGATCATGCATAGATGAATGCAGCTAAAAGGCTACATAAATGTGCAGGTATTACTGAACTTCTTCACTAATACTGCTTGTGAGGCAGATGAAATAATTGGTAATTTCTGTGCCTTCACTACAAGAATACTCGTTTGTTCTGCAGACAATAACAATGATGAGTGCAGGGAGCAGATTTCTGATGTATATTGTGATTAGTATCCATTGCTCTGAGGTTTTTTACTCCAGAGAGAAACTAGAGGATTAATCAGAGGCTGAATGATTACAACTGAAAAGGGACCATCTTGACCTGGGGATGTATGGTTTGAGAGTGGCTCTTGGGCACTGTGTGCTAAATCACTCCAGCAGTGAGACAGATGTAAAGGATTGGCTAGCACAGAAAGCAGCTTCAGGATCTCCTCTGTAAACAAGCAGTGTTGCAAAGCTCAGAGCCAGCTCAGAGAGGAAGAGACCGCTCGTGTCTGAGTGCTGTGACTGCAGGCAGCTGGGAGCACTGAAACCACACGCGCTCCGGTCTTTGCTTCCAGGTCTGCAAGGTGTGGATGAGGACTCCAGCAAGGCAAAGTGTGGAGGAACAGCAGCTTGTCTTCACTGGGCACTTCACCTGGATGAAAGCTGAGCAGGAATATTGACTTGGGTACAGGGCGAAGAGCATGGAAAGATGATTTGAAGTCCAAGAGCGGTCTGAAAGTGCCTAAGCCTGATATTCTTAGCAGACAGCTGTGCTCAAAGGTGGAGGAGGGTGCTAAAGCTGGGCACTCTCTGGAAGCGAGCATCCTATCAAAGCTAAGACAGCAACTGTTTGGGACCTCTTGGGATCATAATCCTAGGAAGAAGAGCAAATTCAGTAGTGCTATGGATTCAGAAACAAAATAATAGCAATCACCAACCCTCCAGCAGCCACATCTGCTCTGAAGCTGAGGTTGGGACGCTGCTGGAGAGCATTCAGAAAGGAAACAACCTGTGCTGGGTGCTGGGAAAGCAGGTGGCAAAAGAGGCCTTTCCCTCCTTGCTCTATCATGATCTCTGGTTAAGTATTCTTGTCCCTGTGTGGAAGAGGTAGGAAAAGCCTCTGCAAATTCCTTCCCAGATCTGCGGCCAGAAGCAAAGAAACCCTTTTGGATAAGAGTGTGGGCTCATCAGTGATCTTCTTGAAGCATGTCTGGCCAGGACACTGAGGACTTTGGAGCAGGAAACCTCTCAGAGAAGTCTCGGATGCTTCCAAGCCTCCCACCGTATGACATGGATGACCAGCTCCTTCCCAGGGAGAGACGGAGCATGGGGTGCTGCTTGGCCTGGACCCTGCTGATTGCCACCATGAACCTCTTGGTCTTCCTCATGAATCTGCTCCTGATGTTTGTGATTTTCACCATTGTGCTGCTCCCTACCATTGTGGTGGTTTACTTTGGCTTCCAATGCCACTCTCAAGTAAGTAAGCCTTGCTCCATTTGGCTGCAAACAGCTACTTCCAAGGCAGGGCCATCCATAAGGGTTTTATGGGTGGGCTCACAAGAACAGGTTTATGGTTGTGCACTCTGACCTGCAGGTTCTTGGTGGTGCAAAGGAGTGGTCTCTCCTGCTTGATGCCTGTGGCACAGCTACAGGCAATGTGCATTTGGCTAGGGAAGGACAGGCTTTATGGTTTCTGGACTAATTAGGTGCTGGTTAGCACCCATACATTCAGTGTCAATGGGATAGCACAGAAAGGCTCTCATGGGAGAGGGAACAGAACAGGGATAGAAGCTGCCTGTGACTGCTCAGCTCCTTGGGGAGCGTGGGACCCCTTGGTCCTGATCCCCTGCACACTGCACTGGGTACACTTGTTTAAGTGTTAAGCGATCAGAGATAGTGCTACACCATGGCACAACCAGCTTACATGAGATGCCAACCTGGTGGGCACCCCTGAAGGCTGACAGGAAGGATTTTTACCCCTCCCTTCTTCCAGTTCGGTGGGAAATAGAAGCTTGAATAGGCAATGAAGTTGTATTCCCGTGTGACAGTCCCTGGTGTGACAGAGCTGCTGTTGTCATTTAATGTCACAACATTTCTCTCTGTTCTCTGACCTCTGTTACTGAGACCTGCCAACCTGAGCTCCTCCGTAATTCACACAAGCCCTACATAGGTTCTCATAGGGTTTGTTGCTTTCCTTTAAGTCAGCCCTCTTGAGTGTCATATTTGATCTGCTAATGGCTCATGATAGAATGAGGAAAGTCTAACAGAACATATAATCCCCTGCTTATACCAATCTACCATTCAGATGTGTTCCCAAACGTGCAGTGCATTTTCTCACCACAGCAAATGAGCCTACTTGGTCAGGAATGCTTATTCCAGGTTTTCTGCTGTCCTCTGGATTTCATGTTTCATTGCTTACCATTTTATCCTTGCTATGTTTCTATAAATGTATTTGGAATTACTCGACCAAGTGTGGATGTGAAAAAGCAGCCCTGATTTCCTCACAGGCAGGAACTGTCAGACCAGCTCCATCTGACTGCCCCTGCTGCTTATCCTAACTTAGAAGAGCTCTTTTGTTTCCTACTATGGGGAAAAGCCCCACACACTGCAGCACCTTCTCCCAGTGGGAAAAATGGACCTAAAATACAGATGCTTTTGGTCTCCCCATTCCACAGGGTCTGAACTAAATGGAAGTGGAAATACTGAAAGAAGAAGCTTTCCCCTTCCTTTTAATGCAATCTGTGCATCCTATCTAACACCCAAGCTCCCTGTCTCAAAGGTCCTGACAAAGGGCCTGTGCTATTCCTGTTTTCTCAGTCCTGATTCACTGGCTGGTCTGAGAAGTTAGGCTTTGATTTGGATTGCCCTGAAATGATGGCAGTTCATAGCTGCTGCTACGGAAAAGCTTTTCCCAGCCCTGCAAACTAATGAACAGGGAGACATCTGTCATGGTAAGTGTTTGTAGAAGAGGGCAGTGCTGCTGCTACAGGGAGGGAAGCATAACTCAGAGAGAAATCATGTGCTCCTGAGCCAGGCAGTTCCCACTGTGGCTCTGACACCTGGAAACATTATACTATAGGGTGCAGATGAGCGTGATGCTCACAGGGTAAAGAGGGAGGCTCTGGAGGACCTACAGAGAGCAAGAGTGTATCAGAGGGGTCCTGATCTACCTGAATAGTCACACAGGCCTTCTTCAGTGTGGGTTGCAACACACTTTGTACAGTCCATAGATGCTAGAAGTTTCCCACACAAAAGGGCAACTCTGTAGAATGACTTTTGGTTCGGTGATGAGGAAGAAATAACAAGAAATAACCTAATACACTCTCTTTGGGTGTGTAATTGCCTTGGTAAATGCCTCCTCTGCCTCTGTATAGTGTGGATGCAAATCCTGATAGATATGAGGGGGTTTAGGGAAGGTTTAATAGGAGATTGCCTATAAAGCCCTTAAATAAACTTTTCCCATGATCTGAAACTGCTCCTTGAAGTTCATAAATCTGGACTTCAACGTGGAGCTCAAATGGGGACAAGTATGAGGCCTGCCTCCAGCATCACCCCTCCCAGCCTCCCTATGCATGAGCCTCGCCTTGCGAAACCTCAGCTTCTCCTTCAACATAAAGTGCTCCCCAGGCAAAGGTTTTGAGAGGATCCAAAAGGGTTTTGAGTGCAGCCAAGACGTGAAAGCAGCCGTGTTGCTGTAAGGAGCCTTAACACAGCCTTTGCTTCAATAGGCACGTGGCTTCACAAGAGCAGTCCTTTATCTTTGAGCTCCTGCTTTTCAGTGCTTTCGTGGTAACCAGAGGCTGCTTTCTGCACTGCACATCCATTAGATGGATGGTTTTAGCGTGATGGGTTGTGTTTGCTGTACTGCTGAAAGAATCTGGAGGAGGAAAGCTTGGGGCCATGGAGGCTGCCTATGGCATTTGTTAATGCAGAGCCATGGAGTGGCTTCTCTCAGATCTGCTGCCAGGATGAAGGGGGGCTTTAAATACCACAGTGAGGACCATTTAGTGTGCTGGGTGCTTTGCAGCACCATGGGGTGGATGGGTTTTCCTGCACTTGCAGCGCACGGAGGTGCTTGGAGGCAGGAATGAGTACAGTGTGTGCACAGGAGACACTGCACAGAGGGGTCTGTGCCAGGGCAGGTAGCTATGGAGTGACCAACCTCTGTGTGCACAATGTTCCATCTTGCTCTGTGTTATTTATTTAGTTATCATTGACAGTGTGTTGTGCCACCCACATCGATGTAGCAGCAGAAGGCTTCTTTATTTGGTTTCTGCTTCTCAAACACTAAGCTGTGCTGTTCTGATGACTTAATAAAGATGAGTGTTTCCTGCTCCAGGATCAGTGTGCAATGCTCTTGTCTCGCAGTGAGGCTGATAATTGAAAGCTTGATTAAAATGTGTTGTCAGTCACACAGTACAGCCTGAAAAGCTCAGCTCAGAGAGAGGGAAGAGATGTGTGAAGGCTCAAGAAGCTCAGTGGTGCTTTGGTCACTGCTGCTATCCACCACCAGGTCTGAGATAAGCTCTGTCTCTTCCCACAGGTTCTGCATTCATCTGCCCACTACTGCAAAAGCTTCTTGGATGACAACAGCTCTTCTGCCCTCATCATCCTTGGCTTTGTCATCATGTCCCCTCTCATTGTGGTGGCCATGGCTATCTACTGCAGCCTGGCAAAGCGCCTCCGTCTCTTCCTGTGCTTCCAGCCATACAGCCGGGCTGTGTACAAGGGGGTGAAGTGGCGCTGGTACGAGGAGGGAGGCCTGTGCAGCTGTGCCAGGGGTTGGAACACTCAAGTCAAGGCCTGGGTATGAGTTTGCAGCACCAGAGTTTCTGCCATAGCCAGCACACTCTTCTCCCTGCCCTGTCCGTCCCCACCATCACCTCCCACAATCACCACCCTGAGGTCTCTGCAAATGAGGGCTGTGTAGATGTGAGAGGAAGGATGATATTCCCATGAGCCATCTCCTACAGCTTTGTAAGTGGGTACTTACAGACAGTGGGTACTTACAAACTGCCCATCATGAGGGAAATGTGGAAAACACAAGTTCTTGATGGTAAAAACAATGTTCAGCCCTGAAAAGAACAGGGACTGCTCCCAGTGCACGTTACCTTCAGAGCACACCACTGGCTCCAGTCTTGACAGCATGTTCTGCCTCACACGGGATGGAGAGTACACGTGCATGGTTTTCAACAGTGGTGGGAGCAGCTGCAGGCCTTGGAGAGGTCTCTTTGGGAAAGGCAGCCTCTGGGGAAGCATCCAGCCAAGAGGAAGCAACTGTGGTTTTCCCAAGTGGTGGGCTGCCGATGTTCCTAACCTCTGGCAAAGGTGTCTGTAGGTGATTGTTGGGAGCCACCACTTCCCTCCACATCAGATATTCTGCCCATGCTTAGCAATCCCTCTTTCCCACAGGCTAGAGCAGTGTTTATGCTCCTTTCGCTGTCCCTGAGTCAGGTCACTGGGCTTGCTGTGGAAACAAATACTGATCTTTGGGTCTCTTCCCTGCCAGCTGCTGCAGAATGCTTGTCTGGTGATGGCTGATGGCTGCTCACCAGCAAATAGCTCCGTGTCCTTTAGGCTGTGGTCAGGTTGTTTTGTCTGCAGCTAAATCTGGCTGAAGGTTCAAGTCAGTTGGAGGATTCCTGGCAGGAGGAGCTGAAGACTCATGGTGGCTGCTGAGCGCAAGACAGTCTCCCACAGCTGGACCAAGAGCTTATTCCTGTGAAGGAGAGTGTATAACGTTGTTTCCTGAAGGTCACAGGTACCCAGGTTCAGGGTTAATGCTGTGGTTGAAGAGTGGAGAACTGGAAAGGGTTCTGAATGCTGTGAATGAACTGATGCCCCAATAAAGCTGGCTATCTCGAGGACCTGCTGCTATCTGCTGAGTAAGGAAACCCAGCCTCTGTTCCCTCCTGTGATTCTGCACAGCTCCCACAGGGCCTGAGCTGGTGCTTGGCTATGTCAGCTGCATCTCCCTCTTGCTTTCAGTGATACCACAGATCCTTTGCCATATGACATCCCATAAGTTGCAGCTGAGTGGAAAGCACAGTGAGAAGGTATGGCCGGTAGGGAAAAGATAGGGCAGCTTGATGCATGATTCTCCCCTTTCAAATCACTGTGGGTCTCTGTAGTGGGGTCTTTGTGCTACTGTTCACTGCAAGCTGTGTTTTCCCACTGTTATTCCCTGTCTCCCCAATGCAACCTCTTTAAGTGTTATGTATAAATAAAGATGATGCAAAGTCTCCACTGAGGGAGTTCCTGTTGTCTCAAAGCACTGGCTGCATCAGTGATGTCTGTTGTACCACAGCACTTGTCACTGCAAGGCAAAATGGAACTTGTTTTCGTTCTCAGGATTGCTTTTCCTATGTACCAAAGAGGAATGGACACGATTGTTCCATCCCAGAACGTGAATGGATGAAAGAATATTGAGTTTGCATTTGAATGCCTCTCCCTTCCTATAGGATTTGCCAGGGTGCAAGTGCTGACTGAATTGTTCTGATGCCATTCAGGAGAGCAGGAATGCCCATTATATCACTGTGATGAGCTGCCTGGCTGGAAAAGGGAAGCGAAAGTGCAGCAAGTAATTGGTTTGAGCTGCTTTCCTTTTAAACTAGACACTTCTGTCCTTCCATAAAGGATGTCTCTTCTGAAGCTTTAATGATTACTGTTATATCTTTAGATGCTTTGAAGCAGTAAGAAGAAAAAGCTTCTTTTCCATAGATGCTCTGAAGCTGGCAGATGAAGTGGATGGTGAAGGCAGTGTTCTGCATTCCCACTTCATCTGGGGACATAGATCACAGAGGATTAGCTGATTGTCTCCTAGCAAAAACAGCATGAACCACAATGAGGGTGACACATGCCTCTTTATGGCTTCCTGAAGCATCTTTGCAGGCTATTGCACACAGTGTTTACAAATACCACCCTCTAAAAGGGTAAATGCTCTGTCTCTGGCTTGTCCTTCATTAAAACTAAAGCTCCAGGCCCAAATAAAGGCTCCTTTACCTGGGACCAACCTCTGGGTGACAGGAGTGGGTCTGCTCTAGGTGATGCTCCTCCATGAGGTGCTTTAACAGCTGGTTGCACTGCATTTGAGTCTCTACAGTGCTGAAATCCTAGGGGATAGCTGTATTCCCCTTTGATGTGCTTGGAATATGGTGGGAAAGGCACACACAGGAGGGGATAACTTTGGGGAAGGCATCAGCAAGCTGCTCTGGTCCACAGGGTTACTAAAGCACTCCTTCAACTCCTTCCTTTAACAAAGAGCCAGCACATTTCAAAGCACAGGATCCTCAGCCCATGAGCAGTGAAACAGCCATCAAAGGGAAAGAGATGGCAACTGATCGTCTGCCAGCCGTGTTCATTGCCATTCTTCCCTTCTGCTGTGGCCTTCTGTTCCCTCCCTGCACCTCTGCTGCCTGCATCTCTCAGCTTGAAGAGTTAAAAGAGCTGGAAGTTCCGGAGGGGACTGTGGAGAACCAGGAGGAAGTTCTGCTTCCTGAGAAGGAGATCTTATGCTGCAGGATAATCAGGCTTTGCCCGCGGGTGATGCTTGGTGCCTGGGACAGATACTAGGTAGGAGCTGCTCTTCCTTTTGCTCATCCATCATTTAGTCCAACTGATTTCACAAGGACAGCGTTCCTAAACTTACGGTGCAAGTATTGGTGTGAGCCATTCCCGCTGCTGCTTCGGCACAAGGAATTCAGAGTTCTTGGCACCAGCCTTCCTAATAAACAAGAATTGATTGCATTTGGTGGTTTACCTTAGAGAGAGTTTTAATAACAAAGGGGAAATGAATCCACCTGCAAGCACCCTGGTGGAACAGAGCTCCCGTTGGATGGCTCAGGCTGTACCCCAAGGCTGTCCTGTGCACAAACACGTTGCAAGCAGTGCTGTAGCTCTGACGTGGAGCTGGCTTGATCCTAAATTTCCTGTAGCGGGTACAGAGACATCCTTAATATCCTCATGCTTGGATCAGCTCCCGAGGGCAGCTGCTCCAGGCTGCTTTCTGCAGGGCTGATGTGCCAGGCAGGGCCTGCACCCACACATGGTGGGGGGAAAGGGTGCTACCAAGCGATGCCTGCCTCTTCTGAGCCCTCACACACAGGGCTTTGTCCTGTGAGCTCCCAGCTGAGAGCAGAGCTCACCCATAGCTCTGCTTAGCTGAAGGAGGACGGAAAGAAATTCATCTTCCTTTTAAAGTCCTACTCTGTATGGATTTATGGATTTCATTTCCCTGCAGCATCTTCCCCAGGATTCAAAGCCATCACATTAACCTGGTACTGATGTACCTCCAAAGACACTAACACATATTTGCACCCGACAAGGTGCAGTGTTTGCTTGTGCTTCCCTGCTCCTCTGTCATCACTAAACGGTCTGCATCCAAAGCTGATGGAATCACCAGAAAGATGCCATGTCTCTGTGGGTGTTTCCTTATGACTTATCCTTCCCACCAGGGCTGGAAGCAGATGTTCAGGCAAAGGGGAAAACAAGAGAGACACAGTTCTATGGCCACTGTTGTGTCAGGGCTGCGAACATGCATTGGGCACAGTGCTAAGGCAGAGCTGGAATCCTAAATACACACACACAGATGGACACAAGGGGGAATCATGCAGCTGAGCAAAATATAGGAGGCTTCCTACAGGCTTTCCGTGTCTCTTGTTGGTAATATGCCTAAGGAGTGTTGATGCTGCTCATGTGCCTCACTTTCACCCTTCCAGGTGGGTTCCCCATCAGTGAAAGGTGTTCTTGGTGACAAGTATTTAGGATTACTTGTTATCCCTTTCCTCTGTTACCGACTGCTCACATTGCTCCTAAGTGGCTTTGCTGATAGTCAGCCACAGCACCTAAGGACCAGCTTTCCTACACCAAGGAAGGGTTTCAGGAGGCCAGGCTGAGCACCCCAGGGCTCAGGATCCATGTCTGTGTGTGGATGGAGTTTCTCATGGGGATGAGAGGCAGACTCGTGGGGTCCCTTCCAGTCTAACTCATGTGATTGTCATGTTCCCTTTCTTTTCCCCTTTTTCTTTCTTTGGGATCATGTGTTTGGCCTGATGAGGTGCCAGGGTTTTGCATCAGCCGCTGCTGCAGGGCACACAGCCCTCCTGCTGCCCTCCCAGCGGTTAACTCATTCACTCTCCTTAGCACAAAACCTCCTCTTCCTTACAAGCATCAGCTTGAGAGTTCTTCATCACCTCTGCTGCCCGGTAAGACATGAAGAGCTCTTCAAGGCTATGAAGGGCATGCTGAGACCAGTGTCTGTGTGCAAGGAACCAGGATCTGCAGCAGCATTTCCTGGTGAATTCCTTGGGTAGAAAATCACCCCCAAAGACCTGAATGTGCCGAGCAAGCGACTCACATCGAGCCACAGCAGGATAGGTTCTTATATGAACAATCATAGAATCATAGAATAGTTCGGGTAGGAAAGGACCTTAAGCTCATCCAGTTCCAACCCCCTGCCATGGGCAGGGACACCTCACACCAAACCATGGCACCCGAGGCTCTGTCCAACCTGGCCTTGAACACTGCCAGGGATGGAGCATTCACAGCCTCCCTGGGCAACCCATTCCAGTGCCTCAGCACCCTCACAGGAAAGAATTTCCTCCTTATATCCAATCTAAACTTCCCCTGTTTCAGTTTTAACCCGTTACCCCTTGTCCTGTCACTACAGTCCCTAATGAAGAGTCCCTCCCCAGCATCCCTATAGGCCCCCTTCAGATACTGGAAGGCTGCTATGAGGTCTCCACGCAGCCTTCTCTTCTCTTCAGGCTGAACAGTTTCTCTGGGCCAGGCTTATGGAAGGTGAAAGAGAAATCCACAACAGCAAGGGAGGGAATGTGTTCAATGTGTAAGAGTTTCCTTCTCATAAGGAAGTGCTGTCACAGCCTGTCCAACTTGACACCATGAGCTCATCGCCTCACCCCTCCGCTTCCATGGGCAGACTTGGACATGGGCTTCAGCACCACTGTGGATATGTGTTTATGGAAACTCTACACAGATGATATATGGATTTAATATGCTTCCACAAGTGGCAAGAGGAAGAGCTTCTCCCAGCGTGCAGGCCTGTTAAGGAATTTCTCTGATTTGTACTGTTTGTGAGCTCGTGATGCATAAGCCAAGGCATTCCTGAAGTAAAGAACAAACTCTTCTCTCCCCCAAGCATAGATCTGGCCTAGCACTGCTGCAATCAGTGCAGACACTCTACATGTGCAGTGGGGTAAATGACAGCGAAATTCTAAGCCAGAGGAAACCAGGAACTGGAGATCCCATTCCCTGCTCCCTGCATTTGCCACTTGAAGCTGGAATGTCGAAGCCATTTGCCAGTGCTTTCAGCTGGGTATTGGACCTCTGATGCCTTCAGTTATTGGAGCACTCAGCTGGGGGTAGAGCAAATAAGAACCATCTGTCAAGCTGAGCTGAAATCAGGAAGATCTTTTGGAGCCAAGGACAACATAGCATTTATTGGAAGGATGCTGAATTCCTCCTTTGAGGGAGACTGGCGGGAAGGAAGCTGGAACCTTCCATGTTCATAAGGGGAAGTCAAATGTAGACTCCAAGGGTAAGGCTATTGCTGCCTGGGCTATTGTCTGAGACCGAAAACTGAGCATCCTCCTGCTCCCACGGGAGCTCTGCCCACACTGGGAGGGCTGTTAGAGCCTGATCCCAGTTACAGCCATGCAGTGGGTAGCGAAGGGACCGCGGCTCTGTGTCTCCTGTTGGGGTAGGTCCTCCAGCACCCAGCGCCCAGCAAGGTGCATTAAAAGGACCCAAACTCCTGTGAAGTGCAGGCATTCTCACCCAGAGGGTCTCTGCTTCTTCCTAAGAGTTATTAGGGAAGCGCTGTTGGGTTGGCGGCTCCTCTCCATCT